ACAATACAAAACATTTAGAGGTATTCCCTGCTTCTACAGTATGGTTTAAAGAAGGAGGAAGTGAAGCATGCACAACATGAAATATTAAAAAAAAAAAACAAGGAGGTAGAGGGAAGTTTTACATTTCAAATATTGCAGAAACAGAATGAGTGTGCTTTTCTTTCAGAGAAATATTGGTGTAACATGAGACTACACCACTATCATTCTTTTTTTTAAGATTATCTAAACAGAAAATAGCAGGAATTTTCCAGCAAAATTATTTGGGCATTCATTAGAGTCCTTAAATAAAGAGTATTTAAACCCAGACTGTCAAAACGGCAGTAATCAGCATTGATTACACCTTTGTTTACAAAGCAAAGCATTAAACCCAGGAGACTTTCAGTATCCTGCTGTGTATCTGGTATCTTTAATCTCTCTCTTTTTTAATCTTGTTTCTTGCAGCAATCAAAAATGTGGCTGGTATCCCCATACCCATTAAAAACTGCATTTAAAACTGCTCCTGATTTAAAGCAGATGCAACACCATACTCACAAAATCCAGTTTTGTTAATCTAAAATTCAGACAAATGTTCAAATTTAAGGTTTAATCTACAGATGTGCTGAGGCAATTTCTGGCCTTATAACTTTTTGCATTTAATAATTATATCTGACTATGAAAAAATGGCAACATTCTCAGAAGTGACAAGGTGTTTGTTTCGACCTTTTATTATTTCACAGTGTCTGTTATATAGCAATAGCATGAATGCCATGCGAGCGTGTACTCTTGAAAATAATACTCTACTTAGATTTCAAAAATTTAATTCATTTGCATCTCACTTTCTTCTCACAAGTCAAACTTGAAAGATCTTAATTAACATTTAAATAGGAACTCAATTCCAGGATTTAATCGAGTAGTACTAAGCTTACTTTTCACAGGTAACATGTTTCAGGAAAAATGAAAGTGGACGTGTTGGCACAGGAGCAGATCATAAGCTACGTCAGCTTCTTTTAAACTGAATAGCAAAGCTGAGGCTCACTTTACTTAGAAAGGCATCTGGCTTCCTTGGATCGACAGGTAATCTATTGGGATCTTCCATATAAGCTTTAGACCCATGTAATTTTAATCAGTGTACAAAGAACTCTGCATTAATCTACCCTTCCTCAGTGGAATAATTTTATTTTGTCTTGTCCAAGATCACCTTTGACATCTTTTTTCTAGGAGGCTCTGTTGAAATCTGGGCTATCTAATTTGTCAGTTACCACAGGCATTTATGGTTCAAGCTGGAAAACGAGTGTTAAGCTCACAGAGTGTGGCATTTCAGTACCATTCTGCTTTTGTAGTTTTAAGGGCAGAGGGCAGCTTTCCTTTAGTGACTTTCGAGATAGAAATGGCTTAAAAGTGTCCTTCTCCAACCAACAAAATTGAGCATGGGTGCTATTTCAACACTACATCACAGCAGTGAACCGTTACAGGGGCATCATGTCAACACAGCTTCCTTATCTGGAAAGCCTTCCTGGAGTATATAATCCCAAATCAAGTCTCAAATAGCAATGCCCTGAAAAAGTCCATTAAGATAAACTACTTTTATGTCTTGTTCAGTACCTGAACTACCAATAGCACTTTCAGAATATGATGAAAAAAGAGAAAAAAAAGGATAGAAATAAGGAAAATACAAACTTTAGCAACAAGGGTCATTTCATGAACTATTTAAACCCTAATTCAGAAAGAAAAAAAATTAGCATTGTATCGATTCTAAGTGCTTTTCTGCTAAGGGGGCAGAACATGTGTACTCGATTAGACATATGCAGCATGATACATAACTCAGAGGCACAATATGCTTGTTCATGGGCATAATATGCTTGTTCATGGGCATACGCAGCATAGATTTGTACATGTTGGAATAAAACTTACTCTTT